ATATATATGGGTTTATGATATGTTGATGGTCAACATTTGAATGATGTTTAGGTTGAAATAAATAATTAGGAGCAAAAAAGAGATATATATTTATTTATTCTATCTGTATGAAATTCTCTTCTCTTTCTGTGATAATACGGTAAAAGGGCGGATGTTGATGACGATAAGCAAATAAAAAAAAAGCTTGTGAATAACAGGTAGAAGAACCGGATGATAGAAATATTACCAACTGAAAGCAAAAGCTTGGTTTAAAAAGTAGGTGGTGTATGCGTTTCCCCAAACACAACCCGTTACGCTTTGCCCCGCCCCACAGGTATTGCTATAACTTCCACAAAATGACAGCGTAAAACATCTTTTTTTGTGTAGACATAGACATAGATAGGCCTACTTATTGTCAAGAAGAATGAGATACTTATTGTTTGCTCATTACAGTACATTGTTATTATAGTTATTATGATTATTTTTATTTTATTTTATTGTTATTGTTATTTGCTTTTTCTCAGTTGGCCTATATTATTTCCCTGTAAAGCGCATAGGGGCAATGTGCAATATGCGCCATATAAATATAACGTTATAATTATTATTGTTATTATTATAAGAAAATACATAAAATACTAAGTCGTATATAAAAAAACAACCGATAGGCCTATGTAGGCCTACAAATATTACAATTTATACGATTCAAAGTTGAATTTATTATTTATTTATTTATTTAATTTATTTTGTATTGCAATTTATATCATTCATTAACTAAGGTATAACAATATAAAATTGAAATTTAAGATAATCTCAAGTCACAATTAAGAAAAGGGGCAATATTTTATGATTGTTATAAAAAATATAATATAAAAATTGGAACTTAAACACGAAATGTACAGTGTCAAATTATTGATCAATAATTGCACAAAACAAAGCAGCAATTTTGTACAAATTAAAACGGCGAATTGCTGATGAAATAAAAGAGTTTTTAGATCTGTTTGACTAATGTATGAGGTACGGTACTAGTCTTCGAGAATTGCCATTAAATAAATGTTGAAGAGTGACCGTAGGTTTTTGACCGAGAAGGTGCAATTTAGTAAGGAAGGGAGAACTGTGTTGTTTGTCTGACGTACTGTTAACGCGTGAGAAAATTTGAATGGAGTAGGAAGTTCATCATTGTCAATATAAACGCATAAAATTTCGTAAGCATAGGCCTGGATCGAAAACAACTTGAAAAAGTAATATCTATAGGGGAGAAGTCCTCCAGAAATCCTGAGGGAACCGTCGTGCATGTAATTGGAAGACTCAGTTTCAAATTGATGCATTGTTTAGAAATAGAGCTGGTCACAATCCATCTATTTTAAACTCATAATTCTCTCGATGATGGAAAAATTAAAAGTATGTATTAATAAATAAATGAAAATATACCAATTGCAATTTTCCATTTCTATTGATGGCCCGGGCGGTATAGTTTTAAGAAATGCAATAGTTCGGGAAACATTATGAGGTTTTTCAATTGTAGGCCTATTCATAGTGAGGTCTAATCATTATCAATATTCTCTGTCTCGTATTTTTTATTTATTCTTTCTTTAAACTGCAGGCACTTTCAGAAACAAACCATATAGAAAGGTAACCAAATAAAAAAAAAAATGTAGTGTAAAAACAAAATTCAGTAAAACTTTTCTTCGAACGAAACTAATGTCATTTCTTTAAACTACTTTTTTTCGTTTGGAAATCCTCATTCAAATTTTTGTTTTTCTAATGTTTTTTTTTTTTTTTAACTTGAAAAATATGTCAATTTGGAGTAGAGTTATACAAAAATTATGAACTAATTTCTGAAGTCGATTGCGGTTCCAATCGAATACAGTAATGCCATGATCATTTTTGGAGGATGAAATACATCTTGATGTACACTTTTTTGTAGAGAACTAATTGCGCCACCAATGTTAATCATTAAGATTAAACGCGACCTCTCGCGCGGATTTGGGTGGGGAAACTTCTGAATAGTTTGTTTTTGGTTTTACGCGACACACTGGTGGCTGACTCATTTAGGAGGATAGTGTAAAGTGGGAATCATAAATGTTAACGATTGTATAGTTCACAGAATTTAATTCTAATGTTAAGAATTTAGAGGTTGTTAAACAGAACTCTTTGATGATTCGGTTCCTTTGATAACTCCAAGTATTTCTACTCGTCGTCGTTGTCGAGTTTAATCACATTCACACCTCTTCTTGGCTGCCTGGTCTTTCGTCTTCGGTAAGTGGAGCAGGCCTGCAGTAGGCTAGCCCAGGTCTAATGAAGGCCTAGGCTTACTCTAGAGGGATTCGGTGATTCTAGGGATTCTAGCGCCCAGGCCTTAATTATTACTACTACTACTACTAGCAGCCCTAGCTAGGGCCTAGGCCCTAGCTTCCTGCCCTCATCATTTTTTTTAAGGCCTAGGCCTATATAATTTATAGTTATATTAGGGGCATCCATAATTAATGTTCAGCATTTTCAAAATAGTACAAAACATACTCTTTTCTGTGACCCCTCTCTCCCCCTGAAAGAGTACACAATATAATGTTGATTTGTGTCATTTTGAGATCATTTTATGTTTTTCATAAGAGTACTTATGCCTACACTTTCAACCCACCTTTCAACCCCCCCCCCCCCCCCCCATAGGCCTTATTAGTTACTGTGGATACAGAAGTAGGTAGAAGCTGGTAATTTAAGTAGGTAAATTTTATATGTATTTATGTATTTATTCAACAATATTTTTAGAGGGTGGCACTAACAGCTATGCTGAATTGAAGAGGCCCTTTTTCACAACAATTCAAAAATACAGATATAAAATTCATCAACAGTGAATAAAATTATGAGAAAATTTTAAATATTGAGTTAAAATTATTAAAATGCAAAAAAAATTTTTTAAAATAAATAAAACTCACTTGCTAGCATCCGAAGAGATAAGACAAAAATGACTTTTGAAAATTGAATAAAAATAGAAAAAATATAATTTTGTAGATTTTTATTTTTCTTGTTGATTCCTAATATGTAACTATGATATATGTGCATCTCATCAATGTAGCTTTCATATTTTGGCACAACAAAATAAAAGATAACCAGAGCGTCTGAATTTCCAATACATTCGCATATAACTTTTCTTACTGCCTACCAGAGTAGGGTGCTGCAAGCGTTTCAGATAGGCAGTCAAAGTAAACATTGCAAGGGGTCCAGTATTCTCGAGAAGCCATTTTAGCCATCAATTTTACCAGTCAAAATACCTAACCAACCAGTAAAAATTGTGTGTTGGTAGAATAAAAAAAGCACTTATTAGGCCTATGTAGCTTAGGTTGGCCTTCTTTCAATAAATGAACATCATTCCAGTCCAGGCCTAGGCTATGATTATTGTTTTTTGAAGCCATTGCATTCCACAATACAGGTACCTCACGTTGCATGCACTAGCTGGCTTTATATGGACAAAGTTACCAGTAAAAATGTTTCAATTGGGCAAACACTGGGGTCTATTATTGAGACAAAATTTGAAATAACAAATTTACACTTTGTGAGAGTAATCTGCCCATTTTTAAAATAATTTGAAGATGTAATTTCAGGACTTTTTGTGTAAGAATCACACAGACCCTATTTTCAGTTTGGTAGTTTAGTAAAGGTTGTTGATAGTTTGTTAGTAACACCTGATGAAGCTGGCATTGAAAGCTCATGACTAATGAAATTATCTTTGAAGTTAGTCTTGGAGTGCTGCCTCATCATTACCTGTTCAATTTTGTAGTTTATAGTAAGTAACTACGATACATCATTCAAAGCATAAATTAGTTTAATTTTTGGGGTGATTATTGTTTACTAAATACAGGTCCCTTCTAATTAAAGACCACTTTTGGGACTGGGGTTTCCATTGTCTTTAGCAGCTTTGGTCTCATTAGAATAATAAAGATAAAAGGCATTTATTAATTTTGGACCATAGAATAGTGGTTTTTAATTGGAGGTGGTCCTTAATTGGAGGGAGACCAGTAGTGTAAATTGATACAAATTGTGTTACTAAGTGTAAGCTTACTTTACATGGAAATTTCCAGTCTATTTTTAGTAATAATTATTGATGAAAATGTCATGCAATATTTTAAGTCTGTGCAGTTTATATTGCAGAGAATTTACTTTTATGTTATGTATTGTATGCAATTATTAAAGCTAACGTCGATGATAAAAATGATAAATTTTACCATTTGCACTTTCGATTCTTAAATTTTATTTTTTAAGCAAACTTACTATTTTCAATGGTTTTTACAAAATAATGGCAACTGATTGATTTATTAATGAATTTGCTCTCAACATTTCTATTGTACATGTACAGGTATGTGTTTTTAGAGATCTTTTTAAACTTGTTTTTTTCCAAAATACCATAAATATTTGTTTAATCATTAAAATTCAATATTGATACAAATCTAACAATACAGTATAATTAATATATTTATAGTAGTTTTTAAATTAGTTATTTGCTTTAAATTAATAATTATTATTTTTGTTAAATAAGTAATATGAATATTTTTCCTCTTTATTCATAGAATATGGTGTCAGTCGCTTTACAAGCTCTAAAAGATTGAATAAGGGACAATGGCAGATGAATTTGATTTACCAACTCGCCCTGGGTTGACGTTAACTCTTGATGACCTGGCTAGTATTGTAGACAGAAGTGGCCCGGGAGAAGCCATAACATTTATTAAACAAAAGTATGGCAATCGTAAAGAACTGTTGAGGCTGTTACAAACACATGAAGATGATGGTAAGACTAACATGTTAATTTTGTTGATTTAAACATCAAACTAGAGAACAGTCACTCCACAGAGTGAATACTTTCGCCCAGAGCTTGCATAATGAATGATGGACGATTCCATTATTTTCTGCCATGTGTGTGAATACCGAACAGTACGGAGGCAGTGTATGATGGCGATTTGTACAGCACCAATATCCACAGCAGAATGCAATGTTCTGACTATCTGCTACTGTATGATGTTAACACCTACTGTATTGGGGAGTTTTCATAAGTTTGACCTAAGGCCTTTGACATTTTATTCCCAAAATGTGTCCTTGAATATTATGTACCATATGTATTACTAAATTATAGTTTAGGTTATCAGGGCATTAGTTTTTGCATTATTTTGCAAACAGACAGTAGTGAAAACATGACATTCTTTGCGAAGGTACAGTAATTAACGTTAATATATTATTGAGAGTATTTTAGATTTGGTCACAGGTGGACGTCATATGTAACATTAGTTTACTTCCTTGTTTTTTTTTTCTACTGTTGACATCAAGTTCTTTGCAGTTAAATTGTATTGTGCCTTAACCCAAGTAAGAATAGAATAATAAAAGCTTCTGTTTGGTTGAATACAATTAAAGTTAACAGCTCATAATTGTAAAAATACAATGATTTCAAAGAACATTCATTGAAAGTGAGTTAACAATAACAGCTGTGCATTCTTCAGCCTAGTTTTCAGAAGCACAGATTGGTGACAATTATCAATTTATGATCTCCAATAGAGGCACATTAATTCCTTCCTGTAATATATAAACACTATAATGCGGTAAAGAATGGACCAGTAGCAGGAAGTCACTAACTTATCTGTTATGTCCATCAGTAGCAATGTTGGGTGCATGAAGCATAGATATTAAGCTGGTTAGTAAAACACTGGACATGTAGTACTTTTTTAAATGACAATACACTATCTTTGTGCACTCAGTGCACTTGTTCAGTTCAGGTGAATGACGAAGTGCATTGTGTGCACAAAAGCTGTATTGATCACAGGCAGGACAACTTGTTATCATTTTAATTTAGTAAGCTAAAACTAGTCTTTAAAGTACATGTACTTCATGTCCAATGTTTTATTTACTATATCAGACTTGCACGGCTCATCTGTTTTTAGCTAAGCTAAGTCATCTTTTTTTTCAAGCTTAAACATAATATAATTATATTATTCTCACTTTGTCATTTTTTAATTGATAGTGTCGTTTACCTTAATTGATAGTGTTGTTTACCTAGTCCATCAGTTAGTATTAAAATTTCATTGTGTTTTTACCTTGAAAATGTTGACTTAAGATTAAGCTGTGTTTATCTACAGTACAGAAACTAAATGTGTAGTTCTGTTTAATTTTTTATTTGTTAACATTAAAATAAAATTTTGTTTTCTTTTTATTAAGAAAATAATTTTGCCAAAAACATCCAAGCTTAAACATAATATAATTATATTATTCTCACTTTGTCATTTTTTAATTGATAGTGTCGTTTACCTTATTGATAGTGTTGTTTACCTACAGGGTCCATCAGTTAGTATTAAAATTTCATTGTGTTTTTACCTTGAAAATGTTGACTTAAGATTAAGCTGTGTTTATCTACAGTACAGAAACTAAATATGTAGTTCTGTTTAATTTTTTATTTGTGAACATTAAAATAAAATTTTGTTTTCTTTTTATTAAGAAAATAATTTTGCCAAAAACATCCAAAAGGAGGAGAAAATAAAAATAAAATTGTAGTAGTAGTGAGATAGTTAGGAAGAAACGTACATGTCTTCTTTTTGGAGATTTCAATGCAGCGGTGGGTGTAATAAAATTAAAGGAGAACTTCTAATTTTTAAAAATTAAATTGCCATTTTTTCATAGTGGTGGGTGCGTTAATTGGCCAAAAATGAAATTTGGGGCCATTTTTAACACAAACATAAGAAAGGTCACAGTTGGGAATAAGAAAATAACATTGGCAGTTGCAGTGATGACATCACAGTTGAATTTATAATACTTATTAATAGACATATCTGCACCACACCTTCTTCTTAATAACCTGCCCTTACCTTTAATATTACTGGTTTTGCTCTTTCACCTTCATTGTTCATAAGTTGCCAGGTGTTGGTATTCAAACATCAATAATAATTGACCTTGTAGTAATAACCTTGCAAGCTGAATTTAAGAATATAGAACACCATATATTCATTCACGGTTTTATTAATATTTGTATACCTGAATAAATGACATGAATAAACGAAGGAATGAATGAATGCATGAATGAATATTTAGACATTGTTGAATACTTAAAACATGTAAATTATTTGAGATACTGTATAGTAAGCTTTTTTTTTTAAAATAAAAATGAACATTGAATAAAATCTGTTTGTCTTTGAAACAAATCAATAATTCAGTGTACGTTTTAGATAAATTTTGTAATCATTATTTGTTTATGTCGCAGATTGAGCTTCAATGAAACCTTGAATGGACCTTTCCGCTAAGCCCCGCCCCTTGGATATTGTTGCCAAGGTCCCAAAAAGCGACAGGGTTAAAACATACACGGACAACATGCGTGCTTGTTAGACATGCGTGTATTCCCGGTACTGTTCTGTTCTTCAGTTGTTAAGGGGAGATATTTTTTATATCTTCTTTATTTTAATTACAACCTCTGCTGCCTTGAAAATCTCCAAAGATAAGATATGTATATTTCTTCCTAATTATATATAAAGTTGAAGCATTTAACCATCCTATTTTACATTCACCAATAAAATTTTATATTTATTTTCTCCTCCGTCTGGATGATTTTGGCAAAACTATTTGCTAAGTCATAAACAGGATGTAGGATTGCTTTATGGGAGGGCCATTAGGCTACAGTAGGTTTACAAATACCAATGTATTCCCTTTCTAATGCCTGCATAGTGTGTGCTTTTGTACAGTACTCTTTATATCAAGAGACACTGACAGACTATTTAGTGTTTAGTCATACCACCCATTTTTATGAGTTGTAAAATTTTGTCAGTTTATTTCATTCCATTTTTCATTTATTTCATTGGCACAAACGGCCCAAAGGTTGCGTCAGCAACAGTGCGCCATAACACCACAAGTGGTGCCCACAACCTTTGGAACAAAGAACAGTACAGAAAAATTACAAAACAATTATTTACAACATAACCATAAAATTGTAGGGAAATTTAAAATCAGTAAAAAACAAAAAGAATCATGAAAGGCCAATACCAAACAATTAAAAATTATCGTTCATTCCGTAAGTATTGTCTAAGTTTCAAATAAAAGAATTGTACGAACAAATAACAGCATCATCTTTAATATCGGAGGGCAATGAAGCAAACTGAATTGGAAAGTTGTTAACAGATGAAAATTTAAAAGCATTTGTATAATATACCGGATGAGTAAAAGTTAAAGTATATAAACGTCGGGGGTTAACATGAATATGATTACTAACGCTACTGCAATGTGTTATCTTATGGAAACAACGAAAAATAAATGAGATCAGAATAATATATCGTCTGTCCCGAAGAGGAAGCCAATTGAGAGTAATAAGTCGTTCGTTATAATTAATGGGACCACAGTGACGCCAAAGAATTCTCCTAGAGACTCTCTGTTGTACTTTTTCAAGACGATTACGTGATCTTGACAATGAGGACTCCATACAGGTAGTCCATACTCCAAGATCGGTAAAACAAGGGATTTGTAAAGATGAGACATGGCATCAGGTGAACAATTTGCAGCAACCGAAAAAATTAAACCAACCATTCGGTTAGCACGTTTGATAACATTATCAATGTGACTCTTCCAATTAAGATTACTATCGATATATACACCTAAATGTTTGTGGGTATCAACAAAATTGATATTCTCACCATTCAGTAAAAATACTGACCTTGCAAAGTCACGTTTTCTAGTTATGTACATTAGCTTAGATTTTTTAACATTGAATTTCATTTTGTTTTTCATTACAAAGAATTGCTGATAATTTAAACAAAAAAATTACATATGAATTTCATTTTCTACATTAATCAAAAATATATTAAATTTTACTATTTTATTTTATTAATACTTGGCCTAGCAAATATCAAATTATGAATGGTAATACTGTATTCTTTCTTTCGACCTCCTTTTCATGTTTTAGTGTAAAGAGTTGTATAATGGCCTGAATAATGTTATTTAATAGTAATTTAATTATTTTTAACCATCAAGCAATATAGGTAGAATATCAACAAAACATAGAATGTAGACAAACATTATTTAATTTGTTTGGGTCATCAAATAAGAACATACGATACTGCATGAATATTTCTGTGTAATGTTTTAGTATTCGTCATAAAATACTACATGTATTGTACTGGTATTAAAATCTCCAGACAACATGCTCTATCAAAATTAATAATGCTGCATTATTATTTATAGTTACAAAACTACTGTGCATTTAAGGAGAATATGCTTGTCTGTGCATTATTTTTTTGTAATCATCTATATTATAATTATGCTTATTTAAAAGCCTGAAATCATTATAGACAACCGAGGGCCTAATTAAACGTCTCGGATTTGAAACCTACCCTGTATAAAAAGCTGTAACAACATAGATCGTCCCGATCGAGCAAATAAATATCAATCCATATTTCAACAGATTAATGGGGGAAAGATAATGGGTTTTACGGATGTTTTCAACTGCCACGTGTCGTTTTTTTATACAAAATGGTGTTTACGTATTTCCGCATTTCGTTTGTGGTTTTATATGGAAGGCCAAAAGAGCAACATTCGTTGTTAATTTGTGTGGTTTTATAGTAATGGAACGTTAAAAATTAAAATTTTAAACACAGTAGATTTTTGTCAAGCACAGTCAGTTTTTCTGGTATATTGTAGATATATATATAAAATATATATATTGAAAATCATGTTAATTTTAGTTTTTTATGTTCCAAGGGAAATTGTGGAGAGAATACAAGATATTTCCTTGTATACCAATTAACAATACTGATGTTTCATATCATT